GGCCGTGGGGTCTAGATCAGGGCTATGTTGAAGGCTTTGCTGCTGTTCTGTTACTTGTTTTGCAGCCATGTTGGTCCGCTTGGCTGCTTTATCTCTGCCGTTTGACTTGGGCAGGTGGTCTTTTGCGTAGGGTGTAAAGCACTATATATAAAATTATAGACCATGAAAAATGAGGTCCGGCAAGTGTAAGAAAGGTTGTTTTGACAATTTTTGGTCGTTATTGTTGCTTATGCAAGCTTGCTCCAGTGGGTGGTCAAATTTGAGGCATGTTTGTGCCAATCTTCGGCGATCTTGGTGCATTCTTGGGACATACCCTTTTCCATATTGGCACATTTCACCCAATGTTGTGGCTCTCTTGAGGCTTCTCGTGGAGGTATGTTGGAAGTGATTGGGGCCGTGGGGGTTGGATCAGGGCTATGTTGAAGGCTTTGCTGCTGTTATGTTACTTGTTTTGCGGCCATGTTGGTCCACTTGGCTGGCTGCTTTTTCTCTGCCCCGTTTGACTTGGCAGGTGGTCTTTTGCGTACTGTGCGTAAAACACCATAAATCCATGAAACATGAGGTCCGACAAGTGTAAGAAAGGTGGCTTTGACAGTTTTTTGTCGTTTTTGTTGCTTACGAAAGCTAGCCCCAATGGGCAGTCAAATTTGGGGCATGTTTGCGCCAATCTTCGGGGATCTTGGTGCATTCTTGGGGCATATCCTTCTCCATGTTGGCACGTTTTGCCCAATGTTGGGGCTCTCTTGAGGCTTCTCGTGGAGGTATGTTGGAAGTGATTGGGGCCGTGGGATCTATGTTGAAGGCTTTGCTGCTGTTATTTTACTTTTTTGCGGCGATGTTCGTCCACTTGGCTGCTTTTTCTCTGCCGTTTGACTTGGGCAGGTAGTCTTTTTGCGTCATGTGTGTATAACATCGTAAAAACCGGACAGACTTAGGTCCGACAAGTGTATGGTTTCTCTGCCGTTCGACTTGGGCAGGTGGTCTTCTGCGTAGTTTGCATAAAACACCGTAAAAACCGTGAACAAATTAGGTCCGGCTACCCTGCAGCAAAAAAAAGTTGCTGCTCCGCTTTCCGTGTTTTTCCGACCTGGTTTGCAGACTCACCATTTGGCCATTTAGCCTTTGGATGTAGGGCCATCAAGCCGAAATACGATTGATGATTTGTTTGTTTCACTATATCGCACGGAACGGCGAACGGGAGCGAGGTAGCTGTGGTGATTTTCGTGAATGGTGTGATGATGGGCTTCCAGACGGATCCCCACTACGATACCTGGCCTGGGTGGGCTGCTCGAGATGCAGGACAGATCGACGGTGGAAGATGTGGAGGGACCCCTTGGAGAGAAGATAGACCGGGGCTCCCGGGAAGATGGGTCGGGTCTCCCGGGAAGATCGGGCCTGCGTGGAACCGGGGCTTGTTTGTAAATGGGGAGACCCCTCGACGCCTAGATGTGGAGACCAGTCATGAACAAAGGACAGGTAGACCTTTGATTTTGAAGGTGAGGCAGGGAGGGAGAGAGAGTGAGGGAGAACCACAATTCTTAGTGGTGAGTGAGCGAGCCCAAAGCCAACACCTCAAGCTCCTGGTGTAAATGGCATCCTCAGATTTCACTTTGGACAGACATGTTGCGTTTTGCGGAGATGGAGATCAGATCGAGGGATCCCGAGAAGTCAAACCTAGATCTTCGTATGAGGCACTTTTCCAAAAAAGTTGCGTTTTACTGTACGGCGGCGTAAATTGTAAAGCTGCGGCGTTTCTTGATTTTGCGGCGGCGTTTTTCGCAATTGGCTCGAAGTTGTATAGTTGGGTGATTTGTGCCCTTCGTTAGGTAATTGGGTATAGTTGCGTCAAACCCCGAAGGTTGATGAACGCACCCCAATGTGTGAGCTTCTTTGTCAACATACAGACCGGTAACCTTTGGGAAGATGCGGAATTAGTGCAGTGCTTGAACTATGTTTTAGCTTCGAGACGGCTGGTCGTTCCGGAAGAGTACCAACCAGTGTTTCATTATATAATTTGTTTTCGTGCTTCAGAGCTCCCTGAAAGAGATTGATAAGCATTCAACACAAAAATTGAAATTATGTTCTCGAGTTTCATATACGTGTTGCGAGAAATTTGCGAAATTTGCCGGAAAAAATGGCGGCGTAAATCCGCGTATTGGCGGCGTAAATCCACGTAATGGTGGCGTAAATTCCCGTAATCATGTTGGCAACATTTGTCACCCATGGACCACTGAGATTGTTTGGCTTATCAGGGTGTAGCATACACATGAGCACAAAGACTCTTGTTAGGGGGTGGTCAATTGTCAGAGCTTGCACAATGACCTTGGAGAATGACCCTGAGTACCAGAAGTTGGGTCGGTATAGTTGGTAAATTTGGCAATGGGAATCGTAGAGCGGTCAGGGATTTGGGATTGCGATGACGTTATCGTGGAGGTGAGTGTGAGGGTTTGGTCTCTACCTCGTGTTACTTGGGGAATCTAACTGAGTATCCTTGAGCCTGGCGTGGAGGAGACATGCACCATCCTTCCCCGTATATGGAATGTGGCGTTTTGTTTTTCTGGTTGCGTTTGTTTGGATGACGGCAATTTTCCACTCTGGTGGCAATATTTTTGGCCACAATGGAAAGCGGCACTTTTTTTGTCAGGTGGATCTAGGAATGACCGCTGACCACTATTGCATAAATTGTTCTTGATCAAATCCCCCCTAACTGGCCCTAACTTGGACTTCTCCAGCTCAGGCTTACTTCGAGCTTGGCTTTGCTATCGTTCTCATTTTAGAAGTGTGTTTGCGGCTTTTGCTGGTGGGTTGTCGAGAATTCCTCCGCGGTGCAGACCGTTGGTGGAACTCCTTGGACTGCCTGATGGCTGCATCCTGTGAGCGTTCTGATGGTGTTTGTTGTCCAGAATGTTCAGCAGACCACCTGGAGACACAGTTTCCGAGCTGTTTTGGGGTGCCCCCCCCAAATGCCCTAATTCGTTCCAAAAGGACTTGGATTAATTGTGGTGCTACCACCTGAGGCTTTTTGTCCATAGGCGCATGGGTTGATGTCATAATACAGTTCGCGTGGCGCGATTCCCCCGATGTCATCGGCACGTTCCTTGTGAGATATCTTCGCCTAGTGCGATGCTCGGTGCGCAAGGCATGTTTTGCTGTGCGTGATAAAGTCACAGAAGCTATGGTGCTTTACCGAAGGCAAGTGGTTCCACAAGTTTGTTTCTCTTGAAGTTCAACACTGAAACAAGACAATCACCAGAATCAACTGCATTGATGTGCGTTTGTTTTATGTAACCTTGAGACGATGACGAAGACTTAAGCCACCTGGCAGGCAGGAATTGGGGTTGGCAGGGAAACTGGTTTTCAGGCTGCCCTGCAGTTGCACGGTAGGCTGATTGCATGGAAACGTGAATCTTTAGTGATTGATAGTGTAGGCTGTCTTGCTTTGATCGCATGGTGGTTTTCATTGTTGATCCTCCATGCATTTAAGGAATGGCACGGATCGTGAAGATTTTCCGTCTCACATTCATGAAGGATTTGAGGCTGATGATGCGCGGCTTGATTGCTGGGGTATGGACACTGGCCTTGGCTTTCATTTTGCTCTTCACGGTGACTTGCTCTTGTGTTTTCTACAACTGGACCAAGATGATTTCCATTCAATCCAGGTTTTTATATCATGTAGACTCTTGATTAATAACCCCCCCATTTGAATTGAACATCCTCTTCATCACCTCCCATTGCGGTCCGTCCCGATTAACATCCCCTGTTGGGACAAGACGCGCATTACTGCGGACACTCATGGTCTCACAGCACATTTTGTACACTACAGATGCGAACCATCAACAACTACGAACACACCACCAATCATCCGGAGGAGGTCAAGGGAACCTCCCACGATGAGAGCATCTTTGAACAGCCTGCATCCATCATTGCGGCCAGACCCTGCAGTTCGTCCGACTGAAAGAATGGCACAGCACCAACAATCGCTCCCTGTGGAAACGATCTTCCTTCTGATTTCCGAGTTTGGAGACATGTATAGCCAGGAAAAATCCGGTGGTCAGGCAGTTTACTTAATGTAAACAAAAAGCCTGCGCAGCCAATATGATAAATCCCGAAAAGTAATACCATCGCCACTGCATGCTTCAAGAACAAAACCCGTCTTGTGAAACAAAAATGCGAGTTCCATATATGAAGTACAAAAGGCATCACCAACTTTCCAAGCAAGCGCTCGGGTGAAGTTGAAGAAAGTTGAAAGATCTGAAGTAGTATGCTGAGCAAACCAAGGACCAGAGAGGTCAAGGGTTCCTGATGCACGCCATGGGAAGTCTTGTATTCGTTGTTTCCAATCCCACCGGGCAAATCGAGACTGCAAAGAAACACCGTCATCTTGAATGAAAGCATCTTCAACAGTGGTGGAGCTAGAAACTTCGGGAGTGGACAACTCATTACCTAGAGAATCCAAAGCTGTGCTTTGGACATCGTTTCTCTGAATAACAACGTCTAGCTTCTTTTGTTTATAATGTTGTTGTATAATGCAGCAGCCATGCTGATCCTCAAACTTGAGCGGGCGCAACCGTGATGCCAGACTGTGCTATAGCTGTGCTATAGTGCAGCAGCCATACCCATCCTCAAACTTGAGCGGGGGCAGTCGTGATGCCAGACTGCGCTATAGCGCAGCAGCCTGCCCACCCTCAAACTTGAGCGGGCACAGTCGTGATGCCAGACTTTGCGCGTACACAGCACGCACATACCCCACATGTTGAAAGTGTGTTCCCACCCACAGTGTCAGGTTTTGGCTCATGCGCGCTGGAAAGTTTTGTCTGTTACATTTTTTGCAACTAAGAATACATACTATAATACGTTTATGTTTTTTGGGGGTTGGGTTTGTTTCCGCTTAAACTCGATCGGTCGTTGTGGACCCGCTCGCTTCTCAAGGACCACTGAACACGCGAGGGGCGCGTGAGTGGTCCATCAGAGGGGCGCGGAGGAAACACACCCACAGAGCCCAGGACATGCGTGATAGAGATACAGGGTTCCAATAGTTCATAGTTTCCTTTCACAGAAAAGGCAACCATGACATTGATCCAATCCATTTGCCACTTGGCGGGCGCATGGACAGCCGAGCTTTCAAGGTGAAGTGCGCCTTGCAGCCCGGAGTGCTCGGAAGGGTGTGCACGTGTGAGACGTGTGAGGGCGATGCGTGTTGTTTGCGTGGACATGTGTGAGGGTAGTGCATTTTGTTTGTGTGGCCAGAACTTTTTGGCTTGGCACGCGATCGAACTTGCAGCCTCGACTTGCGGTCTTCGCCCTGCATGAGTGCTGCTGAAGGAGGCAACCAGGGAGCCAGCGCTGTGGTTCCGTTGGGGTCGCTGTGGCGCTCGATTCGTTCCTTTGTCGCTTTAAATGGCTAGCTTTACTTTTGTTCAGTTTTACTTTTGTCTGTTGGACATAGTTTTTAGCGAAGCTGCGTTTGAAGATGATTGGGTTTGGTGAGGCCCAGGGCGAATTGCTTGGAACGAAGAGCAGGTCGTTTCTGGGCAATGTTTCATCTCAAATTCAAACATTTTCTAGTTGTAGATGAAACTAATGTTTTGTAGGGCGGTGGGTCCTGGTGGTTGCAGAAGTCTATTTGTTTGTTTGCTCGGCCTTCTTAGCTTAGGCCACTTTGGCCAAAAGCATGAAATCTAACATGACGATGGAGGTTCTGCAGGTGGTGACAGCGCCGGATTGGAAAGGGTCCAACCTTGTCATCTTGACAGATGAGCTTGCTCGCCCTGTCGCTGCAGAAATAGCCAAAAACTCGATGTGGCTTTTGCCAGTCGTGCAGTTCAGCCCCAACAAGGATTGGAGTTGTGGAGACTGGTTGAAGCAGTGTTAAAACTGTTTTGGTTTTCCTGACCGGCTTCAGAATCGTTTGTTATAATCTTGCATGCACTCACTTCCAGGTTCCGTCAGCTTACTTCTTGGCAGATGTTTGGCTGGAATTGGACAGGCTCCTCGACCGGAAGCTCTTTCGTGTGTGTGAAGAGAATGGCCGCGGGAATCGCCAGCAACAAGCTGCCAGAGAAGGTGTTCGATTGAAGGCTTTGATGGGTGCACTCAGGTTTTTGTGGAGGAATACGAAGGACAAAGCTCACCACCCGGAGGTCGCGCTTCTGAAGAGCCATTTGCAAGAGTCTCCACAGCAAACGGCCCGGAGGGAGGCGAATGAGGCTGAGGCTGAAGAAGAAGAAGAAGAAGAGTTGCCGCAGGCTCCACTTGATGACCATGATGGCTCGGGCCAGGGCTCAAGCCAAGAGGAAGAGAGTGCTGCGGGGGCACTTGCTGATCGCTCGGATGCTGAGGCAGAGGAGGCCACTCGCCGAAGTGACGGCGAAGCTTCGTCTCATTCCACCTTGAGCGCTCCTACCAAGATTCTTGGCCAAACGTCTCCTTCTTCTGATGTTGGCAGCGATGATGCTGCAAAGTCAGAGGCTGCAGTCTCTATCTCTGAAGGTTCGGATCAGGACTGCGTGGGCAACAGCCCTGTCATTGGTTGAAGGTAGGCGGATTGCGTTCAAAATGTTTTTCAAGCAGGGATTCAAAGCCCGAACCATGAGGGTTTGCCATGGCGACAGTTGCCATGATCGGCCGTGATCATGGCAGGACCTGGAGGCAGCAAAGCATTTCGCAGCAACGTGGGATGACCCGGCGGACGACAATGCTGGCTGGCTCGGCCAGTTCTATTCGGAATATGGAGATGATCGCCTGAAGGGCAAAACTACGGAGCAGGATCACAAGAGGGTCATCCAGACCTGGCTGCGGGATATCGGAGATTGCTTGCACGATGAGGGAAAGCTGAAAGAGTGCCTGGGATCCATAGAATAGAAAAATTGAATGGAGGAATTGAGTATATATTTGGTTTTTATTTCACGCATCCATGTTGGCGCTCATGCTACCAAAAGATCGCTCACGCTACCAAAAGATCGCTCACGCTACCAAAAGATCGGTTCCAAAAACGCATCCAACTCTGGTCCATGCACAGTTTTGCAAAAGGTGCTCAAGGGTAATTATCTTTCTCCCTTTGCCTCTCTTCTTTAGGCCCGGTCCAATACATTCACAATTGTGTTCACTAACAGCTGCAAAAAATAGGGTGCGCATATATGTGTGTTCAATGGGTATGACAATACGGAGACCTCCCAACAACCAACCAACCAACCAACCAACCAACTAAATGCAGTTGGAGCGTACTAGTTTCGTTTGAGACATGTCAAGATACCTGTCCCTTCGAGGCATGCCATGTTCCCTGACTACCTAGTGCACGCCGAGCGTTCCCTCGAGCTCCATGGCCCTGCTGTTTTCTCGACCCTTGCAAGTCGTCAGCACTTCCATGACTGGCTTCGGCAGAAGAAGTCTCAGGACGCCAGCCCAATCGCAAAGATGAGTGTATTTAGCAATCGCAAACATGAGTTTAAACTAGTTTAAATAGGTGTGAGAACATGTAAGAACTGTGGGCCATAGAAAGCAAATCTAGGAGAGATGAGTTTTGTTTGTGTTCAATCTGCCTGAAACGCAACGCAGGATCTCCGCGCTGGAGGTAATCTGAAGTCGAAGGCTGGGCGCCAGCTTCTGTTGGATTGAGTGTCAAGTGGTTCAGACTATATAGCCCCAACTTCATATTCATCGCCGCAGTGAAACCAAACATCACTCAAGCAAGCCAGCTCCATGAAGACATGTGGTTGGGGGGACGCTTTCAGCATGAAAATAAGTCCAGTGACATGCGACAGTGTTGTTCTCAACCCAGCGTGTAAACTATATAGAGCCAGCTTGCACGGTGCTTCTTGCAGTGGTTGATGGAAGCCAAACCATGGATAAGTATAGACAACACACACCGTATGAACATAGGATCAAGTGCGTTTGGCTTCCGTCAGGCAGCTGTCAGCGATGCCCTCGGCCTGGAGATCGGCTGCGAAGAGGAGTGGACGACCACCCCACCCACCAAGCGACCCAAGCTGGCTGCAGCAGTGGAGAAAGCCCTCTTCAAGACCCCTCCACCGGTTCTTGGACCTCAATCAGAACCTTGTCAGCTAACAGTAATATCACACAAATATATACCAATTCTTCCCATAATGTATTGTGAATATCAATTGCTCTATAGACATTAGACTCACTACTTTGCCCATGATGCCCTCATTGAGGCAAAGCGTATGGCCGCCCAAAAACGGGCAGATTCTGAGAGATCAATCAAGATGACGGATGTTATCAAAAAGGAAAAGGCCAAGGCCAAGGTTCCTAAGAAGAAGGTGAAAGTCGAGCCGGGGAAAGCTTCGATTTCGACGGACCCAGATGCTCCACGGGCGGACACATTCAAGGGATATGATTTGGCAGCTTTGGGGATCCCGGAGGAGGCGAGACCTTTGGATGGAGGTGACTACAAGGGACGTCACTCCTACACCGTGAACATCGAGGGAGCTGCAGCTCGGAAAACCACGCTTATCAAGTTTCTTGCCACCTTCATTGATGGTGAAGGTGGCAGAAAATAAAAAACAGATGTTCCCTTGATATGTATATATATATATCATAAACCCCCGCAACACTTTTGATCACTCTCTGGAAAACACGTTTTCCAG